TTCGAAGTTTTTTATTAAAAAAACCCATTTTGGGGTGTCTAAAAACAAGAGATTTTTTAAGTTTTTTTTTGAGGTAATGATGTTTGATTTTGGCTGATTTGCAACCATTTTTTTAGTGGTTTATAGATATTTGGGTACTTTTAGAATGCTAAAAAAAATTAATCTTATTTTTCTCAAACCGGTGGTATATAAAATGTGTTTTTTGGACCAGGATAAAAATTATTGAAAAACAATCAAAAAAAGACATGAAACGCATTATTTTTATCATTATTATGGAAATTATTTTATATTTTAGAGTAAGTTTAGTTTTAAAATATTGTGGCTGGCGCCACCTAGATCAGGAGAAACGTATTGCGACGTAGAATAATGCAGTTCCCGCTAACATATATTTTTTCTTATCTTTGTATGTTTCGTAATAATAAAATATTGAGCCGTTAATTTGAAAAAAAAGTGTGTAACAAATTCCAGTTCTAAAAAAAAATCTATCAAAATTCTTGTAATTCTAATAATCTATGGTAATTCCATTATTTCAGATTAATTTCTGTAATTCCAATATAATTCCAACTTAATTTTTGTAATTCTCGAATAATTCCAGTAGTTTCAAATTAATTCCGATAATTCTAGAATATTCAACGTTTGTTAAAAAGAAACTATCTTCGATAATTCTAAAAAAAATCTAGTAATTCCAAAAAAATCCACCAAAATTCAAGTAGTTTTAATAATCCATCGTAATTCTATTATTTTCAGACTAATTTCTAAAATTCCAAAATTATGCCAAATTAGTTTTTGTAAGTCCAATTTAATTCCAACTTAATTTTTGTAATTTTCAAATAATTCCTGTAGTTCTAAATTAATTCCGATAGTTCTAAGATATTCAACGTTTTCTAAATTCTAGTAATTTCAATATTCTATCGTAATTCCATTATTTCAGATTAATTTCTATAATTCCAAATTAATTTCTGTAATTCCAATATAATTCTAACTTAATTTTTGTAATTCTCGAATAATTGCGATAATTTCAATTCCAAATTAATTCCGGTAATTTTAACTTAATTTTTGTAATTACAAAATAATTCTTGTAAATCTAAATTAATTCCGTTGATCTAAGAAATTCAACATAATGTTCAAAAGAAATTATATCTGATAATTCTAAAAAGATTTCCAGTAATTCCACAAAAATTTCTACAATTCACAAATATTCCACTAATTTTAAACAATCCAATGATAATTTTAATAATTCCAAATAATCCCAAGCAAATTCAATTAAATTTCATGATATTTGAAGTGCCCAATTGTGTTGGTCCAAAAATAATAAGCTAGTTTGGGGTATAGAAAAACAACAAGTTTTTTGAGCATTAAAAAAAATTTTTTTTGGTGTCTAATTTTCTGGTGAGTTTTTGGGGTGTTTAATTCGGGATTAAAAAGGTTTAAGGCTTTTCTTAAAATTTTTCAATGATTATTTTTATGTCCCAATTGCTCTGTTCTAAAAATCTAAAAATTGGGGTGTTTTTGGCTGTTTTTCAATGATTAAAAATCCATTTTGAGTTGTCTAAAACAAGATTTTGTAATTTTTTTTGAGGAAAATATGTTTGATTTTTGGCCGATTTTTGGTGATCTATAAATATTTTGGTACTTTGGAGTGTTGAAAAAATTGGTGTTTTTCTAGAAGTAACATTTTAAATTCCATAAAAGTTTACCGAAATTCTAGTAATTCATCGTAATTCCATTGTTTTTAAATTAATTCCTATTTATAATTTCAAATTAATTTCTGCAATTTCAACCAAATTTCAAAATTCAATTCAATTGTTCTAAGAAATTTGACATAATTTTCAAAAGAAATCATCTCCAATAATTCCAAAAAGAGTTCCAGTAATTCAAGAAAAATTTCCATAGCACTTGTGTTGTTTCAGAAATAATAAACCAGTTTGGGGTTGTTAAAAAACACCGACTTTTTTAAAAGTTTTTAAAGATTTTTTAGTGTCCATTTTTTGGTGAGTTTTTGAACTTTTTCAATGATTCAATTGCTCTGAAAATATAAAAATTGGAGTATTTTTGGGTTTTTTTTTATTAAAAACTTATTTTGGGACGTCTAAGAACAAGAGATTTTTTAATTTTTTTTTGAGATAATTATGCATGATTTTGTGTGATTTGCAACCATTTTTTTGGGTGTCCAATTTTTGGTGGTTTATAGATATTTGGGTACTTTTAGAGTGCTAAAAAATGATTTTTTTTAAAGAATTTTAAGCCGTTTTTGGTTGTTTTTCAATGATTTTCCAGAAGTAACATTTTAAATACTGCGCAAACCATAAATTGAGATATGCAACCTATCAAACAAAGTCCAATATTGTGGATAATCTAACCAATTAAATGAGATTTCTACAGTTTTAATTAAATTAAATAAATTAGATTAATAAAATTACTAATTATTTCAAACAATTTTATAAATGTTAATTGCTTTTAATTCAATTACAATTAATAAACCTTTCAGACTGTAATTACAAATTTTACGTTCAATAAATGGTATAGGTAGGTGTTATGCAATTTATACCCAAAAGAAAGTGTGTAATTAATAATTATAAAATGGAAAAGGCAACTCTTTTATTAAGAGTAATTTTATTATATTGCAAGTTTACTGATGCAATAAACAGGCAATAATTAGATAAATATTTGTAAACAAAATTAAGAAACCTTTTTTTAATGGTAAAATGTTAACGTTTTAACAAAACCTTTCCTCAATAATAATATTTGTTTATCTGCTATCTGAACACAAAGATAAGCAACATTGAAACCTATCAATCACATTTTAGCACGTGTTGTGGAATTTTTTTACACAATAAAAACTTAATTGCTTGAACCGAAACGACCAATTTGCGTGTTGTATATCAAATTTTTTCTGCTGATTCACTCAAAGGAAGTTTCCCAAGTCCATCGACACAATTTTCATAATTTACAATAGCAATACGTCACATATTTATGTGTATAATTAGAAGGTGGGTCTAGTGAGTGAATGAAAATAGTTTCTCCATCTGGTCCACTGCCAAACACAAGCTCAAATGTTTCAATTAATGCCCTCTCCATAGTGTCTAGTATCACGTGACAATACCCCTCATGTCTCCAATCCAACAAATCGTACTGTCAGTAATCTCGCGCTGTTCAAAATGGTGAAATCAAAAGTGAACAATTTGCGCGGTCTTTTGACCAAAACCCTCGGCGACGACATCGAAATCATCGACCAAAAAACCACCCTTTTGACAGCACCTGGTGAACACTACGGAAGCATCATGTTGGCATTGGATGTCACAATCAAGCAACCCACGACTGGAACCAAAAAGTACCATCTCGTGGCGAAATTAATCCCCGCCAATGAGATGCTCCGAGTGGCTTTTGACATTTATGTGACGTTCAAAAAAGAGGTACTTGCGTACACTGAAACCATCCCTTACATCACACAATTGCAACGCGAGTACCAAGTACCCCCGAACCACCATTTCGACAAGCTCTTCGCCAAGTGTTACGGCGCGAGAGTGAGCTTGAACCCCGAGAGGAACCAAGTGGATGAAGATGCGGTACTCATCTTCGAAAATCTCAAGATTCAAGGGTACCAAACTGAAGATCGTTTGCTTGGTTTTGGTTTAAAAGCTTCCAAGGTGATTCTACGTGACTTGGCCCGGTTTCATGCAGCCCCAATTGCAGTAAAAAGGCTCAAATTTGATGATTTTCAATCAAAAATCCTCCCGGCACTTGTGAAAAATAAGGGGTTGGAGCAGTTACCCCCCGAAGTGGGGGTGGCATTCCACAATAGTATTATGGAAGGTGCTGTGGAAGTACCAGAACTTGGGGAGTACCTCCCCCGGGTGCAGAAATTGGTGGATTACGCCGCCGCCAACCCTTATGTCAATCGACCACCCCCAAACGAGCTCTGGGGGAGTATGTCCCATTCCGATTTTTGGACCAGCAACACCATGATTTTGTATGACGAGCAAGGGGAGGCTGTTAGTAACAAAATCGTCGATTTGCAAATTATGACTTATAGTTCCATTGCTCGTGATGTGATTTTTTTCATGTTTACTAGTATTATGAATCGGGTGCTTGAGGAGAATTACGAGGAGTTGTTGAGGACATATTATGATAGTTTTGTGAATACACTCAAAGAGTTTCGGTTGGATGTGAGTGAGTATAGTTGGGAAAACTTCCTCAAGGAGTTGGAGGAAGTTGCACCAAGTGAAGTTTACCATGTTCTTGTTATGTTGAAGCCGATTTGTACGGAAAGAGGGAAAGTTGAGCACAGTTTGGAGGAGTTTCAAGACAGTGATTGGAGTCGCAAAGATCTACTAGGGCCTTCACATCGCAAGAAACTCAAAGATACGGTGCTAGCACTAGTGAAGAGAAATTGGATTTGATGTTTTTTGCAATTTATACAATAAATTTATTTTATTGATAAAATAATGCGTTTTCTTTTCAATTGGTTTGATCCAAAAACTCGCTTATTTTAAGAAATTTGGCTCGGTTTTGTGCTACCTAGAATTATTTTCTTTTAGATTCTATCATAAGCAATTTGACAAAAAAAAAATATGTTATTTTGGTCTGTTTCGAGAAATTTTGTTGGTTCTCAAGCCAGAAAAAAGGCCAATTTCGTTCAAATGCTGTCTTTTGTCATGTAACAAAACAAAAAATTTGAATTTTTACCAAAAAAAAGTCTAGAATCTAAAAAAGTTCGGTTTAAGACCAAAAATAGTGCTTTTTTTTGAAAATAAAAAAAATTGTTT